CATTCAGTAGAAACTGCTTTAAATTTTGATCTTTTCCCAGGCTAGCCGTACACAGAACAAGGGTGTCTTGAGGCGCTGGGCAGCAGTGACAGCAAATCGCGGTTTCTGGTCAGGCATGCAATCACAAGACCAAACAACCAGTACTCTGCAGTGTACTAAGCTGCCAGCATTTTTGGATGTTGTTTTGTGTTTTCACATCCCATCCTATCTATAAATGCCCATTTTTTACTTATGATATTTTCAACTTCTGATGGGTTTATCTACGCATAAGCCCGAGGAACATCTGTAACGCCTTGGTCTTCTTTCCCCCAGAGAATCATTACATTGAAATCTAATGTTTCAGGGAATACTTTTTCCAAAAATAAGGGTCCTAAAAGGAAACCTTATTAAAAATAAAACACTTTCACTAACAAAATATATGTCACTGTCATGTAACCACAGAGCTCAAAGGGATTCCAGGAGAACATCAAAGTAGACTCCTAACCCTAGCCATGACTGTGCCAAAACTGTCCTACATGAAAACTTTAATAAAACACAGCAAGTAAATATTACAGCAAAGCAGCATTCATTTACAAGAAACAAATGTTGGAACTGATTTTCCTAATCTAACTGGGATTCTGCACAGAGGAAACCCTGTCTACTATTAATAGGTTAGGCATTGTTTTTCTCAGGGAAAAAAAAGTTATATGAAGAAACTACATATACTTTTAAAATGTTATTTAGCACATGCTTTCTGTTTGTTAAAAAGAGCCGCTAGGGTCACAGCTCTTAATGCAAGAGCTGAGCTCTGGCTCTTTCCTTGGACTCTGATCCATTCCACCCTCTCCAGCCCCCAGGGAGTTTTAAATCTGATCCGTCAATTCTGGCAGGAGCTACATTTCCTAGAGAGGAGGGTCAGTATCAACCTCTGGCTAGGGTTCACGCTTTTATGGAGCTGCCTATAAGGTTTCAATATTTCAACCTCAAGTATGGTCCTAGTGGAAGTGAAGGAGAGCAGAGGCTGCCAACCGTGGTGCATGTTCTGCCCAGCTTTAGGGGTAAAAGCTGCCCCTGTCCTCCAGCCCAGCTCAGCATAGTCCTCTCTTCTGCATGAATATTTGGAGGCCAAAGCCAGAAGGAATCAGGAAGGGGGGCTCTCCTCTGCCTCCCTGTGCCATCGTCTCTTGCTCACCTGTGCCATTCAGGGACTTGCTGAGGGGCTGGGTGTGGTCCAAGGCTTTCTTAGACTCAGTCCTTCTACGAACTGGAAAAAGGAACCTACTCTGGGCCGGCTCCTGCTGGATCCCGGGGCTGCTGGCTGCCCTGTTGCGGGCACTGCTTGGGCTGCCCCCAAAGTGGGCCTGGTGTGGTCTTGAGTATTCCTGGATACCTTGGCAAAATGCCATCAAATAGCAGGACCAATCCTAAAACAGTTTCTGCATCTAGTGGTGATTTTCATACTGTTCTGACATGACTCTGGGGCTCCAAGGATGTGCTTCATGGGTCAACACAAGGGGAAATCAGGGAGACACAGAGACTGATCCTATTCCCATCCCTCCCGACAATCTGGCTCTCATCTGCTTTTACATAGTGAAATTCCACAAAGATTTCTTTGGAAGAAAGGATTTTACTAATTTTTAAGAGACTGTGAAAACCGCTATTTCTAGTTTACCTCACACACATACAAATCATCTACTTAAGGTCACAACTAACCTGACTGCTAGAGGCCAGTAGGGGGCACTTCACTGTGGCAGCAGACACCTCAACCGCCATCTTGGTCTCTCTTTGCTCAACAGCATGGTTCTATCAGGTAGCCCACAGTCTAAGTTTCCTACCCTATATACTAATGTTGATGACTGCTAACATTTCAGAAACATACCCTCTTAGGAAAAGGTTAACATTTCTTCGAATCATCTGACCTAATCAGTGGCTCAACACCAATGTGAAGACATTTACCTGACAGGAAGTCATGGGAGCAGTTGAGAACAGTAGTTCCTGGTTGTATCCAAGTAAGGGGAATCTCTTCTGGCTTACGTGAGCCTAGGACCACAATGTCAGCCTCGTGAAGCTAAAAGGAGAAAGAAAAAAACATGCACAGTTTGATCTGAGGCATAAAGACACAACTAACCACTGATGTCAAATGAGTTCAACACAATCCCAGATCCACAGCTTTGTTCCAAGCTGCTGACAAGGATGGAATCGCTTTACTAATTCCTTTCAAGCATGTATTAATACAAACAGAAAATAATTATCATATCCTAGAAAGAAAAGAAAATAGGACTTAAAAAATATCTTCAGGGTAGTCACTTCAGCATACATACTGCATGTGGAGTATTATCATTTACATGTTTTCACCACTAACTATAATATCAAGAAAAATGATGGGGCAGCCGGGCACAGTGGCTCACGCCTGTAATCCCAGCACTTAGGGAGGCCGAGGCAGGTGGATCATGAGGTCAGGAGTTCGAGACCAGACTGGCCAACACGGTGAAACCCTGTCTCTACTAAAAATACAAAAATTAGCCAGGCGCACTGGCAGGGGCCTGTAATCTCAGCTACTCAGGAGGCTGCGGCACAAGAATCGCTTGAACCCAGGAAGCAGAGGCTGCAGTGAGCCAAGATCACACCACTGCATTCCCACCTGGGAGACAGAGCGAGATCCTGTCTCAAAAAACAAAAAAGAGGAAAACAAGGATGAAGGCCATGAGGTCTGGCCCACACAGTGGGTTTGTTGGCCTGTATAATGGCACCATCACAATGAGACCCCTATAGAACTGTTACTATACCCATGGAAGGATTTTCAGGAGCTTGAGAAAGAATTTCACTTTCTCTGAGGCCCTGGTTAGTCTCTTGTCCAACCGTTCATTTTTTCATTTTTTTGCCTTGAGAAAGTAGAAAGAATGCAACCACTCCAACAAAATGCATTGATCGTGTCCATCCTATTTGCATTTTGATCATCCAGTACTGGAGGAACAAGTCTGGTAGGAAGTTGACATTAAGACAAAGTGGTAGGCAAAGAGGCTGGCTCTGACTTTAACCAAAGAATGGCTCCCCAAGCCCCACTGAGCAACTGATGATTTCAAACTGGATCCCTATGCGGAGCGAGGGGTGAATAGGAATATTAGACTTGCAGAAGAGAATAGCTACAATTGTACAGGTCAGCTAGGTGTTGTAAGTATTACCTCACTGAATATTCCAAATGAGTGAGATTGGTGTTACTATGCTCATTTAACAGACAAGGAAACTGGGGCTCTCAGACACAAATAGCTCTACGGTATGTCCTGTGTCTCCTAGTGAATCCAGTCTTAGAGAGCCTAGTGAACCTAGGCAGAAAGAGGGCGACTGACAGTCCCTTCCCCCACTGTCTTTCCTGTGGACTTTGATGTCCTGCAACTAACCACAGAGTCTGTGGGGTCAAACAGACAGAGGGGCAGATTACGGAACACAAAAGCATCCCCACTGCCACTGCCCCCACCAAACCACCAAATAAACGTGCTGGAGACACCCTTATCCATTCTCAGCTTACAGGCTAATCATTATAGATCCTGTGGAAGAACCAGGACAGCTCCTCAGCCTGAGGACGATCAACACTATTTGGGCAAAAGGGTGCATCAGCTGATGCCTTTTAGAAATCTTGGGACAAGAGATGATAGTGGGAGCAAACCTTTGACAGTCCTACCTGGTTTATGAACAGAAAAGCCAAGATCAAGGGCAGATCCAAGTCCCCTGACAGAGGAGGAGCATGATGAAAATGTAAATGCATGTCTTTTCATAGAGCTGACAAAGCCAACTTTAAAAGTTAACACCTTGGAAATATTTGATCAATTTGACCATGTGAATAGTGAAAAGTGTATTAACATTCATTGATTATCCATTAATAAGCCAAACAGTATTCCCTGCTTTTCAGCTTCTGACTGTATGAATCTACTGTATTAATCACCTTAAAAAGAAAAGAGAAAGCCCTACTAAAACATTTGCCTAGGCCAGACATGTTGGCTCATGCCACCATGCTGGGTAATCCCAGCACTTTGGGAAGCCAGGGTGGGAAGACTGCTTGAGCCCAAACGTTTGAGAACAGATTGGGCAACATAGGAAGGCCCTGTCTTTACAAAAATAAAATAAAATAGAAATCAGCCAGGTGTGGTGAGGCATGCCTGTGGTCCTAGCTACTTTGGAGGTAGAGGTGGAAGGATCGCTTGAGCCCAGGAGGTCATGGCTGCAGTGAGCCGTGATCAAGCCGCTTCACTCCAGCCTGGATGACAGGGCAAGACCCTGTCTCAAAAACAAAACAAAACACATTTGCCTAAATAACCATTCTTCTGTGCCACAGGGCCAAGATACCACCAAACCTCACCAAGAACTTTGCAGCCAAATGAGAATCGCTTGAACCTGGGAGGCGGAGGTTGCAATGAGCCAAGATCGCACCACTGCACTCCAGCCTGGGCAATGGAGTGAGACTCTGTCTCAAAAAAAAGAATTGTGCAGCCAATATCACCAGCAATCTAGTCCCTTAACCCACCATTGTGATGGTGCCATTATACAGGCCAGCAAGCCCACTGTGTGGGCCAGACCTCACCTATCTGAAAAACAGCTAGAGTTCCTGGTGATGGTATATTTAGGGAGAAAGAAGTGTTCTAGTAGAAAGAGGATTTTAAACATCTGTATAAAAAATTGTATTTCTTCATTTATATATAGTACTGTCAAAAATTCAACCACAGTAATCCTCAAGAGAAATGCAAATGTTTAAGCTTTGTCGCAGTTCTGCAGATAAGAAACACCATTTTGCTAGATTTTCAGGCAGAATAGCAGCAAAACCAGAACATGGTAAAACAACTGTAAAAAGGAGGTTAATATGAACACGGCTGAAATGTTCATTTTGGAGAAAGCCAAGGATCACAGGTTCACACAAGTCCCCTAAGAACAGTTAGTTTCCTACACGTGGTATCTTTGATACAACCTGTTCTTTTCATTACCTATAAATCTTGGAAATCTCATTCCAACCCCTCAACTCCATACCTACACACAACTCTAAAGTGGGATGTGCTCATCCGCAACTGGGGAACAGCTAATTCCACAGAGAAAACACAAAAATCTCCTCGCTTAGCAATGATTGCATCGTAGATGTTAATTCTTTCTGGAAAGGAAAAGTGCTAGATGCTTAAATCAGTAAATACCACGCCGAGGACAAGGTAAGATTTTAATGAGCTAAAATTCAAGGAGAATTTTCGTCTCACTTGCTGTTCCTACTCTCCTCCTCCCAAATGGGAAAGACCCCAGCCAAAGCTTGGCTTAAAACTCTACCTCATAACAAAGTATTGCTTTTTCTGCCGAGAAGAGTGGAGCAGCTTAAAGCAAACCACCCCATTCCCCAGGCAGAGAACCGAATTTTAAAACAACAGCAAGGCGCAGATACGCAGACACTTAACAGGGAGCGTGTGGGGGTGCAGTAGTTTAGATAACACGAAGATGAATTTTCTCAAAGTCATGAATTTTTAAGCTAGAGAGACAAGCATCTGAATATAAAGAGACGGGGGAAAGGGAGGACAGATGGAATTTGGAAAGTTATATAGAATATTGTAATTTTGTATTTAGCAAATAAAATGCATTAAAATGTTTTAAACTAAATACAGCCCTATCCTCTTGACTGGAAGACAGTATGTATCTTCTGCTATCAATGTATTTTGAAACAGTTCATATCAATAAGAATCTCAGGTATGAGATCTGTATATACTTCAAAATCCAGAATGGGTAAAACAAAAGATATTTTCTAAAGAACTGTGGTTTATATCACTTGAGACCTATGACAACTGTTTCTATGTCCTTCAAACATTACCAACAAAGTTCAGAAAACCAAGTTCAATTCCTCATGAGGGTCAGTTGAATAAAAAAGAAAGAAAACAATGTTCAAAATGATGAACATTACTTTTAAAAATTAACAGATAGGCGCTTTGTCCAGCAATGATGTGCTTCTAAAATTACAACTGAAGACATTGGCATTCTCGACTAGTGCCTGAGTGACGGCTGGTCAATGGTCAGACACAGAGAACAGAGCAGGGTGTGGAGGGCAAGCGAGGGGCTCTACCACGCCGAGGTGGTCCCTTGCTTGATTTTCACTCTAATGAACTGGGACATACTGTAGTTTGTGTGCGCCCAGTTAAGTGGATTTATGGGTTACATTACGCTCCACTGCAGATTCTTCACAAGACTTTATTTAATTAGTTATTTATTTTTGGAGACGGGGTCTCACTCTGTCCTCTAGGCTGGAATGCAGTGGCATGATCTCAGCTCACTGCAGCCTTGACTCCTGGGCTTAAGCGATCCTCCCACCTCAGCCTCCAAGTAGCTGGGGCTATAAATGTGCTCCACCATGCCTGGTTCATTTTGTTTTTTAAATGTTTTTTGTA